CATAAGGAGGGCTATCATTAGAGTACCTGGGTTCTGTGGACAAATTGGATGCAAAGCAGAGACACTCTTTTCTTCATTCTTAAACTAAGTTATAGAAACAGGAAGCACGCCTTCTTTGAGATTGTTCAGAGCTGTCCTGGAAAGCCAAGAAGAAAGTAGTTGGTATGGCTGAGGGGGATATCTATCTGGTTTTCTGATAAACTTATCTTAAATTGTGGACCCACTTTCTTTCTTGGGCAAGAACTTGTTCCCCTGTCAGCTAGACAGGAAATGAATATAGTGTGGCTCAAATGCCAGGAACAGGTAAGTGTGCACACATATGTGACCAAAGCAGTTTGTGGGAGAGTGTCATCTCCTACCCACTCACTGATGTACTCTATCATAGGCACATGATGGCTAGGGTACAGTTAAGCAATGTCATACTGCACCTCTGTAGTGGTTAGGGTTCTGACAGCCTCTCTTCCACATGCTTGGAGATTCATCTGGATGAAATATCATAAGATGATCCTATGATGATCAGAATAAGTGTATTAAGCCAGAAAGGACTAGATGTGTCTCTGTGCTGGTCACCTCCACCTAACCAAGATATAGCTCTTAGGGGAAACGAGAGCAGAATAGGGAACATTGGATCCTCTGAAAAATTTGAGTCACAATTCAGTTTGAGTTTTATTAAGACAGAGTCTTCAGGAATTTATTTTTGGAGAGGGAAAAGTAGATTGCTAGAGTAGTTACTTATGTCTGGAAAAACAATATATGACCAGAGGCCAGCTGCCCAAGAAACAAGCAGGGATCTGGGAGAGAAGTAAGCCAAGCAGGGTGCCTGTAAAATTCTGTGAACATTTTGAGCCTAGATGGAAAATTTTTATGATAAGAAGTTTTGAAAATCCTGTAAAGCTTTTCTCCACTTCTCCTGTATCAGATCTTAAGATTAGATATTTATATTTTGGAAATCCAATTTCCTTTGTTTATTTTCTTCTCTTCTTCCAAGTTCTTTTAAAACATGCTGACTGGTCCCTGGTGTATTAAGAGAGAAGGAGGTGAGAGGATTTGCTTCACACATGGGTTAGACTTTTATAAGGGTCAAGCATACATCCTTCTGTGCCTGGGACTTGTGGCAGCAGCTTGAATTGAAGTGAGAAAATCCTAAGATCTAGATGATGTTTGCAAACCCTTTCTTTTTAGGGATTTTCTCTAAAGTTTATTTTTGTTTCAAGTTTGGAGATTATTTTTGTGGTAGAGCATATCATCCCCAAGTGGCTGCAACATTCCCTCCCATCCCATGAGCCCTCCTTACAATGAAACATGGACACTGCTGCTGTAGGGACCTACATCCTCTGCCTTGAAATTGAGGCAGAGTTTTGACTCTTGCAGAAGTCAGGCTAAGCCTCTTCTAAAGCTAGGACATAAGGGTAATATATCTTCCATTTGGTTCTATTAGGATGCCAGCTTTTGGAACCCAGCCTCCATGTTGTGAGGAAGCCCAAGCAGCCTGTGGAGAAGCCCATATGGAGAAAACTACAGTTCTGTCTACAGCTTTGGCTAACAGCCAGCATCAACTTGTTATCCATGTAAGTGAGCCATCTTGAAATACAACCTTCGCCCCTAGTTGGTCAGATATCATATGAAGTAAACAAGAGCTGCAGCCACCAAGCTCTGCAGCCACCAAGCTCTGTCTCAATGGTAGATGTTTAGCAAATCGATGACTCTTGTTGTTTTCGGTCACTACATTTTGGTATGGTTTTTATAAGGCAAGATAACTGATACGGTTCCTTAGTTAGATAACCCCTAAACATGGTTTCTGGTGCTTATTTTGGGTAAGTTGCTTTGACTTAGAGCTGCCTCTCTTTCTCACAAGCAGCTGTCCCAACAAGTGTTCTAACCTAGATTCTACAGAGATGTCTAGATCTGCTGAGGAAGCTAGGTGGTGACAGGTGAGTGGGCTGTTGTCTTTGAGTCCTATTTGCTCAGTGGATATGAAGAAGGAGTAAGGATGGTGTCCTCTTCTCCTAGGTTTGAAGCTTCTGTCAGCTCAAGGCCTATGGAGATGTGGAGGTAGGTGACCAGATGTGGTTTTTCATGGAGTAACTGATAAGACTAGCATTTTGTATTTCCAAAAAGAAGAAGGGATGTCATATACCCCTCCTTGATATACATACACTCTGTTTATTAGTGTCATTAATGATTAATCAGGTACACTCCCATGAGCAGCTCCTATTCTTCCCTAATGTCCCTCTTGGACAGCTGGGGTCCATGCTCATCTTGAATACTACACTGGATGTGTCCATGCCAGGAAGGGTCTGCCATCTTTATGGATCCAGAAATTAGCCATATGCCAAGAAGTGAAGGTTTAATCAGACTGAGTCCTCACTGTAACCTGAAATAGTCTAGCTCTTTTGAGCTCATGTGAAACCAAACTGAGGCATGTCTGATGATGATGATGATGATGATGATGATGATGACAGTGATGATGCTAACTTTCCCCTTTGTACCTCAATTTTCTTCCCTTTTCTCTCTGTCTTCACTTTCTTGTTCCTCTTCATCTCCAATAGTCTTATTCAGAAGAAATTTAGTCTTGGGGTGTCTGGGTGGTTCAGTCGGCTGAGCATCTGACTCTTGGTTTCAGCTCAGGTCATGATATCAGAGTTGTGGGAGGGAGTCCCAGGCCTGGCTCTGCGCTCAGTGCATAGTCGGCTTCAGATTCTTTCTCCCTTTTCTCTGCCCCTCCCTGCTTGTGCTCTCTCTTTCTCTCTCTCTCTCTCTCAAATGAGTAAATAAAAATCTTTAAAAAAATTAAAAAGATAGAAATGTAGTCACTTTTTTAGAAAGTTCCTTTGTAGTTCTTCCCAACGCAATTCATGCTTTTAAGCTTTTTATGTTTTTGTTTTTGTTTTTTTCTGCTGCCAACTTGACGGAGTTTTTGATTCTCTAGCAGAAACCTCCACACTGAGTAGGACAAAGCAGATGGCAAAGCAGCAGATACAATCAGGACGGATGGCAAGAGTGGCTCCATCTTTTTCTTTAACTCTGCAGGTCATTGGAAGAACATTTTCCTGAGCATAGATGATTCCCACTCCTCTGCCTTCTTTATGGAGCTGGGACTAGCCCTTGGGAATCCAGCATTTCTCTCTACGCCAGTTACTTGCTTAGAGGTTTTGGAACGAAAGTATTCAGTTATCACTACTGCTGCAAATGGATCCCTGTAATTCTTTACAGACCTGGAACCCTAGGAAAGTATGTGTATGTGTGTTTAGATATATGTTGAGGATGAAATTGTCATTCTTGGGTAAGCTAGCTGGAAATTAGCCTGTCAATGGGAGCTCAGAGCTTCTAATCCACTTCATAATCCCAAGAAAGGCATTGAGGCAGACAAAGGGAGCCTAGAGCAAAGACTCATGGAGAGATGTCCTCAGTGTTATGCTCTCGAGTGTGTTTGCTTGACTGGAGGGGGTGGGTAGGTTGGGATGTTCTGGTTCTCCAGGTTACATCCAGATGCTAAAACTTTATCAATGGGTCTGTTACTCTGCTAGGGGTCCCAATTTTTCATCTCCTGGCTGGCTGTGAACTGAAAAGGCTCAGGTTTCAGGGAAGGCTGTTCCTCCCGCAGTCAAGGCCAGTTTTGATGTGTGGCCATGTTGTGTGGGGATGTGTTTTCCCAGAAGCAAGTCTCCTTCTTGTTCTTTTAGGAGCTTCATGTCCTAGAGCCAGTGCTTTGTGGTCAATGAGTGCTTTGAGAGGGTGAAATTCCTGAGCTCTCCTTTGCTGCCCCTACGTCTTCCTTCCTTGGCCCATAGCCCATCCTAGGGAACTGTGCCACTCTCACATTGCTTTCACTCCTTGAAAGAACAAACATCTCTGCAGCCTCAGAACACTGGTGTGAGGTGATTGTTTATAGTAGATGTTTCCATGACACTCATTTATTTCTTCTGCAGATACAACTGTGTTGGGGGAGGGGATGAGAGGTTAGAGTAGAAAGACTGAGAAATATGGGAACCCTCCAGTTGCCTCATCTATCTTCCTCTGTAGGAATAAGTCCATCTGGCCTTTTCCCTGGGTCCCTCCATCCCAAACCCCTAAACTGTTCCACAAATCCATCTTGCCTTCCTGATGCTGAGATGCGACTAGGTTCCCAGATATGTGGGAAGGGGAGGGATTTTGTGCATGAAGAGGCAGGCTTTTTTTAAGAGAAGGAAAAAACAAAAAAAACTTTTATTGCTAAGAAGTAGAGACTTAGTAATGAGCAACGGTGACCTGCACTGGGGGTGGCAGTATGTGTGTATGTACTTGTGTTCCTGAGGAGGGGGGTCTCTGACACTCCCTCAGCTGGGCCAAATGACTCATTCTAAATTGGAGCGACTTTTGGAGGTCACTTTAGTCATCCCCCTGCCTTCAGGCCGGATGGAGTTTGACTTAACATCACGTTTGGGTTGAAGGGGGTGTATTGCGGAGGGAAGAATATCCGTGTGTGGAAAGGAGTGGGGGAGGGTATCCCGTGACCTCTTTGAAAAGATCTCCAGCGAAGGACGTTCCCTAGCTTTCCCAGGCTGCCTGTTCCTGGGTTTCCCCATCATTGAATCAGCATCATTCTCCAGGGAACAGCTTTTTGCTGGTTAAAAACCGGATGTTGGGTTTCCTGGGTGGGCGGGGGCGACATCCCCTCGGACCTGTTTGGGGGTAATTGAGATTCCCGGGGTCCCGTTTGCAAGCCCGAGAAGCTACCATTCCGTTCACCAGAAACTTGCCATGCAGTGTGAGCAGAGAACAGAGCAGAGCCGAGACGCTACAACGCCTTCTCCCTGGCAATGCGCATGATTCTGCGGCTCTGTGCTCGCCACACTTCAACGCACCTTGAAATGGGCTCGCCTCCTTCGCGCCGCGACGGACAGACATTCGAGCCAATCGGCCCCCAGGCCTGCGAGCAGTGTCCAATGGGAGGACGGCGGGGGCGGTCCCGGAGGCCCGGCCTGGCTAGGCTTCACCGTGGAGCTGGCTGCGCTCTGCCTGGGCTAGTAGTGCAGGTGCCGCTGCGCCGGGGGCCGGGGAGGCTGCGCGCCGAGCCGAGTGGAGCCGGGGAGGGATGGAGAGCGGGCCGCCCGGGCTGCAGGAGCACCGGCGCGGGGCGTAGGCGGGCGCGAGCGGGCGTGAGCAGGCGCTCGGGCGCGAGAAGTGTGCGGGCGCAGGAGCACTTTGCGATAGGATGAGGCTCTTGGCTGGCGCGCGGTAGTACTATGATTTGGTATGTGGCCACTTTGATAGCAAGTGTGATCAGCACCCGAGGTCTTGCGGCTCAAGGTGAGTTGGAGTGCAGCGCCCCTCCTCTGGCCCTCCCCGGCGCTTTCAACCCCTTCTTTCCCGCTTGGGGCTCCCCGGCCCGGCCGAGCGCTGCGCCTTTCCGCGGGCGAGGCTCCTGTTCCAGCGAGGTGCGCTCCGGGACACTGCAGGGAAGGGCTGGGGGCTGCGGGCCGGAGGGGCCCGGCGGGTAAGGGGCCCGAGTCCATACGCTGCCGGGAACTCGGGTAAAGATCTCAGGATTCGGGTCGACTTCGCCCACCTTCGGCCCCAGGACTTCATACCAGTGTGCCAAGACAGGTGCTCTTTGCCGGAGCAGCAGCCTCTTCTGGCGCTGGGGAGACGGCGGCTTTCCTAACTCTGGCTGCCGGGGAGTTTGCGGGTCTTTGGGAAGGCTGCAGCACGCTCGAGCCCCGCGCAGCGCCACCGCTCCGCAGGCGAGCCCTTGCAGGGAGGCGCGACCCAAAGCCTTGGGACTCTTGGCACCCACCGCTAGCTAAACGGACAGGTTTCTGGGCCCCGCGGGCGTCCCCCGCTCCAGCTCACACCCCTTCCGATCACACATCTGGCAGCTGGGAGTTGGATCCCCGTCGCGGGGCATGGGGCGCACGGAGCCAGGAGAGGGAAGAGCTGGTTAAGCGCTTGAGTCCCTCCGCCGGCTCGGGGAAGGAGTGTTCGCTTTTGCCTACCCCTGCCAGGTGTCCGCGCCTGTCTTAGCCACACCTGGGCCCGGGCCAGGCAAAAGTTCCCTGGGAGCGGGCCGCAGCCCGGCAGACCCTACGCCGCCGTTCCCCGCTGAGAGGCAGAACTGGCTGGGGGTGAGGACGGCGGACTAGGGGTCCCCTCTGCTCCGTCTCCTAGCGGAGGGAGGTTTTCCTTTTTCTGATTTTCCCTTTCTGAGCTGGGGGATGAGACAAGACGCAAGCCATCGAGTTGGGTGATGCGTGCGTGAGCGCGCGCGCTTTTGCTTTGGAGACCCGCAAAGCGACCTACGGGCCTCTGGGTGGCACCCCAGGCTCTCGGCCCTTGTATGGAAGTAGGAGCCAGCCTGAGGGTGCTAGGACTCTGAGCTCACTGTTTTCAGCACGCAGACACGACCCAGCTGCGGGCAAGTTCACGAAGCCGGCAGGAGTGGAGAGCCGGGAGAGAACCGGTTGGTGGGTGGTAATCAGCTGGGAGGACCCCGCGAAGAGAGATCCCGCTCCCAGCCGCCCTAGGGCAGAGGGGGTCGCAGGAGGCGCCTTTTACAGCCAGGGTTCTCTACTTATCTTGGTATGTGTAGGGGGAGAGGGGAGTCATTTGAAAAAGTTTCTAGAACGGAATGTCTTCCAAGCTATTTGAGGAAGGGAGTGAGTCTAAAAACCGAAGCAGAGGAGGGCGAAAGGAAGGGTGATTTTGTTAAATGGTATGTTGACTTGGGTGGTTTAAAAACTCCATTTGTCAGGTGGGAACACTGAGGCTAGGGAGATTCAGAAGCTTATGGAGTCGGGGTGGGGGTAGGGTGGGTCCAGTTGTGTATGAGAATCTGCCCTTAGCCTCAGCCTCCTCCTTTCCCCTATGTTCTTGTAGTCTTCCAGTGCCCTCGTCCTCCTCCCCTCCAGTTTTTGGTACATTCCTGCTATGGGACTGTCGCTGAAAGCACAAAAGGAGCTGCTGGGATCTTTGAATAAAAAAGAGACACTGAAAGGAGGCTCTGAAATAGCCTCCATCCTGAGAAGTCAGGGTGAGGGTAATGGACTTTGTGCAAGTTTAAATACAGAATAAAACCAAATGGGTTTATATTGCAGCAACACACAGAATGGCCAGACAGAAGGAAGGACTTCCCAGCATGGAAGGTTGTTGGGCATGAAGGTTATACCCTCTTTCTGGGTGTGGAGAGGTCCTTCTGTCCGGGATGGCTTGATCTGCACCCTTGAGCCTGCCACCCCAGTTGGTCTTGGGGTCCTTTTGGCTTAAAAAGACTATTTGTATGCTGGTTAAGGGCCAAGGTATAGAGTCAAAAGATCTGGTTTCAAATCCTGGCTCTGCCACTATTCTGGCCCTGTGACCTTGGACAAGTTGCTTAACCTTTTGAATGTCACTTGCCTCTGGAAAATAGGATGAACAGTATGAGCTTGTAGGGTTTTCTGGTGAACATTAGTGCTGTAAAGAAATGAATGACTACCTGATATATAGTAAGTGCTCAATAAATGTTAACATTATTATTATTATATTCAGTATCTCTGGGCTCCAGACCCCTTCTCAGTTTCTTTTCCTTGGACCATTCAGGGCATTGGGTGCTAGAAATGTCTTGAGGGAAGCTCAGAAGGCTAACCCTGTCAGGAACTAAGTACCCTTTGGCAGGCTGACCTTGTCTGGGGAGAACCTCTTGTTCCTCTGAATCCCAGGGAGGTGAGCAGAGGATGTGCAGACCTCAGGACTGCTTGGAAATCCTTTCAAAGATCTGTAGAACTGGGAGTTTTGTCAGTGGCCAGAGGCTTGTGGGAAGGATGCAGGAAACCGAGGAGGCAAGCAGGTTATAACATCGCAGCATCTGGAGGGAGGGAGGGGAGACCTGTGTGGCAGGTTTTTGCTCACATGGGAAATACCAGCCACTGTTCAAATGCAGGCTCTGTGTGAGAGCTCAGCTGTTCTCTGACTGGCAGAGGCAACTTCTGGGGGAGATTCCCGTGAGGTAGGGACTTGAAGATGCCACCTTTAGGGTTTGGCTGAAGCAGGGGTTGCTCTATCAGAGGGTTAAAAAGGAATGGGCTCTTAGTGTCAGGTTGGGACAGAGTTAGGGATGGGCTCCCCCTTTTGACTCTGATCATGTGTGTCTGGAAGGTGATAAAAGTCAGTGGAGAGGTTGGGGAGGGTATGGAGAAGATAGGTATCTGGATTCTGGGAGATGGTAACTGGAGACTCAGCATGCCAGACTGAGCAAGCTTGGGGGAGGACCCTGGGCCCTGTTGGGATGAACCTGGGCCTGGCATAGAGGAGAAGTCTGGGCCTTTATTCCCAAGGCTGCCTCCTGTCCACCACAGATTCTTTGGTTGGATTATCCCTGACTACAGTATACCCAAACCAAGAGGGGTTCTGACTCAGATCCTGCTGGTAGAGTGCCCTCTACTCTTGGCCTGGCCTTGACCCTCCGTTTTTCCCTTTGCCGATAAAGATGTGTAGGAGGAGGTGTAGATCAGGAGGCTGCTAGCAAGACCCCATGGGCAGTCCATCAGCAAAGAGGGACTCTGCTCAGCAAGTGGCCAAGTGGTATGTGTGTGTGTGTCCCCTGCACACACACCAAAGGCGGGGGTGTGTCTGGCAGCATGCATCCTGGGAGAAGCTGAGGACGGGATGTGTCGGAAAGGGCATGGCAGAGGGGCAGTGGGAAGAATCAGCTTTCAGCTCCTGGCCCGAGGCCCAACATGCGCCAGACTTGGAGTAGGCAGGTCCCAGAGCTGGGTGGTTTCATGTTTGTGGCTCTGAGACAGAAAGTTGGGATCTGGTTACCCAAGGAGCAGAGGCTGCCTAGTTGGGGAGATGCTGAAACTCAGAATCTCTCTGCTCCTCCCTCTTTCCTGGCTGCTGGCACTGCTCTCCTGATGCATTTTCTCTCCCCTCTGCCCACCCCAGCTAGGGTGTAGCTCTCAGAGTCTGGCCTGCTGCTCTGTCTTCTCCCTTGGCCCTGTCTTTCTCAGCCCTGCTGGCTGCTTGCTCCTCTCTCCCAGCCTTCTTGTGGGCTGGGGGCAGGGGTGGGGGGGTGCTGTGTGTGAGGGCAGGGAGATAAAGGGGGAGGTGGTGTGGTGGGGAGAAAAAGGGGGCTAGGCCTGAGATTTAACACACTTGTATTCCTCTTAAAAGTCTCCTCCTTCCCCAGACACATCCTATGACCTTCTCAGGCTGGGGCCTAGGGTCTCAGGGGGCAGTTTCCTTCTGTCTGCTGCCTAGGATGGGTTAAGTAGCTTTTATGAAGGGTTGATCTGAATTATGAAAGGAGCTGTAATTGGTGTGAGCTGTCTACAGATGTGTGCACATGCCTGTATAGGTGTGCATGTTTGCACACGTGTGTATACATGCCTGTGTTTATATGTGTGCATGTGTGTGTACATACCCTTATGTGTGTGTATGTGTTTACTTGTGTGTTGGCACGCATATGTGTAGAATGCAGGAGGGCAGGGGGACAGTTAGGTTCCAGGCATGACGTGGGGAGCCACTCCCTTCCAAGTGCTGTGGTTGGCAGTGAGACTCCACTCGGAGCAGACACCTTACTTTCCTCATCCCCCCGCTTTGCACCTGAATCTAGGCAGCCCAGAAGTTTTCGAAGTTGGAGGCTTAGCCCAAGGGTCGAATTGAAAGATACCTGAGGTCCCTGAGAGGAAGCCTAAAGGGCGGGGGAGGGGGGACAAAGCCAGGCAGAGCTCCGGGGGACATAGAAAATGGGCCTGTCTTGCTACAGTGGGCTCTGGCATCAGTTCCCTGTTAACCCAGTGCACTCTAGAGTAGAGAAGTGGCTGGATCCCTGGGGAGATGGGAGAGGGTGCTGGGGCTGCAGAGGCAGCTTGTAGCCTGGTCCCCTCTGGGGCACTGCCCACGGGTGCTAGCTCGGTCTGCCTGAGGCAGCTGACCTATTTTTCTTAGGAATTTTCCTGCTTTTCTGTTCTCTCTTGCGTGAATAAGCAGGAGACTGGTGAGCAGAGACAGGGCCTCTGTAAGGGTTTTGGAGAACAATTCCATGTGAGCCAAAGCTCTGAGGGGGGTGCCAACCAGCCTAACTGTCCTTCTGAGAAGAGAGGGGACTGGGACAGTCCCTCAGTCTGTCGTATCCCCGGGTCCTCACCACCCTTCTGGTCACAGGCACCCACCCACCCAGAAGGTTGGCAGATAGCTTGCACACAGGCTCGCCTTCACAAATTGTATGAGGTGAGCCACTGTCCTCATTTTCTGGCTTCAGTGTAGAGAATGCTGGTGCTTCACTGTGAGAATATATGGAGCTTCTGTTTTCTACTTCCCTATCTTGTCTTACC